TTTTGGCTAATGCCATTTTTTGAAAGGCAAGATTTGATACATCTTGGTGAATTCTTGGCAATGTCGATCTCACTGACGTCACTGTTGTTATTGTGACGTTACATAAGTATTTTTGAGGAAATCATCTGCTCTTAGTCCATAGAATAAACAGAATATAAAACATAAAAGTAACACATTTACATGTACATGTATATCATTTAAGCTCCTGTACTCCTGTACTAAGCTTGTACTCCTGTGCGATTAGACCTTTGTAGTCGTATAACATTGTAAAAATCCCTCCTGTAACCAGAGCAACTGATTTGATTGAATTTGTTTCAAACCACATGAAGTTAATTTAAGAACAATCCTATAAGTACATTTTATTATTAATTTCATACATTTTCGTAAGACGTTTACATGAAATATTTCAACTGCAGAGTACATTACTAGTAAATTACATGTAATCCGACAAAATCGTTGTTTCTTTTTCAATAGTTTAATATATAGTTAATTTGCCTATCATATCAAATTGTTAATGGACCATTAACATTTTTTTAAATGCAAGAGAGGAAAAAAAACAGCATAAGGTATAAATATAAATCTTTATATGCACATATGTCCCTAGAAGAAGTTTTCCCTAAAGTTGTTATACTCACCTGATTGTCAATATTCATTGTTCACTCAGACAAGGAGTTTTGCTGCTTATAGATAAAAACACTATTCCGACATTCGTTGCCAATAAACTAAAGCATACTGACGTCATAATTGCTATTGTGACGTTGCATGCAATTATCATTGTGACGAATATCTATAAAAAAAATTGTCCTACAACATGTACTTGAAATCATTATGAATACATGTATATCCTAGATTTGCAGGACAGGAAATTGATACAAGTAAATAAAAAACACAACTTTGAAATAAACTACACATTTTCTTGAAGTCAACCAGTGTGATCTTTCTTTCTCATTCAGTCATATAAGGGTAGATGTAGCATGTAGTTGGGAAACTGCCATCTTGTAGATCTTTACCAATGCTAGAATAGAGTGATTATATTGATAAGTTAAATTAATATTAAAATGATCAATCTTGGAAAAAAAATCGGGGTTTTTTTGGTATTAAAACATAGAGGAATTAATCCTTATTTTCTAAATCATTGTATTCCATTCGTGTTAAAGTGAGTAAAGGAGACATCATTCAATATTTACGAGTTCTCTGTTGCTGTGGTTGGATCAAAGGGGCTCAGGTGCAACTTCCAAAATAATTACATATCCGTAGCTTTAAATAGTGCAAATCATTTTTTGTGCGCGAGAACTTTTTATTTTGGCATAATTTCGCGAGGCAATCGTGAAATTCTCATTCTCGCGTATTTTTGTATTATTAAATTATAATATTTAACAGTCAACAAAACTCGTGAAAATTTTTGTCTCCATTATACCATAAAACTATCTCGCGAAAATAAGGTGGTTCGAAAATTTGATGATCTACAGTAATTGCTTCCCGTAACGAAAAATGCTTAAAACGTACAATGTATTAGGAATGCTCCATTCCCCCGTTTTGTTTCTGAATGAGCAAATACGTATACGTACGTTCAGTTCACAGAATCTCAGGAATTTTTTTTTGTTCTGGTTTGGGTATAATTTAGTCAATATCTAAAATAAATAATGCATAAATTACGTTAGTTAACAAGTGTAATCGCAAGCTTTATTGTTACATGTAAGATGCTCTATGATTTTTCGTGAATTTCAATCCGATACATCGAAAATATATCATTATGTGTCTAAGATATTTTATTTCAATTTGCTTGATTTTCCATACACTCTTAAAAACAAACTTTTAAAAAAATGCCATCTCAATTACTTCTGATTTTTAAAAAAATTAGTTTGTATTTAATGGCGCGTGGAAAATCAATGCAGATTTACTCTAAAATGATAAATCTTAGACACATAATGGCATATTTTCGATATATCAGACTAATATCCCCGCGGGCAGCCAGAAAGATCAAAGACCACTTTAAAATTGCTTAAGAGAACTCTGTCACCCTGTTTAAAAATACTCTGCAATTTCCTAATGCCCGAATCATGTGAAAATGTAATAACGGCATAAATATTGTAACGGTTATACTGAAAACACACCGAGCATGAAAATGTCGTGTTCGAAAAAACATTGAACTTCTCAGTTGTGTAACCAGGACTGTATGCTACTAATAACAAGAGGCCCATGGGCCACATCGCTCACCTGAGTAACTTTGGCCATGCTGTTCTTTACCAGATTCCCCCCCCCCTCCTTGTAATACCTATTGTGGCCCCGCCCTACCCCGGGGGGTCCTGTTTGAACAATTTAGAATCTACACTACCCAAGGATGCTTCCACATAAGTTTCAGCTTTTCTGGTCCAGTGGTTCTTGAGAAGAAGATTTTTCAAGATTTTTCCTATATATTTCAATGTAAAACTTGGATTCCCTATTGTGGCCCCTCCCTACCCCCGGGGGTCATGATTTTAACAATTTAGAATCTACACTACCCAAGGATGCTTCCACATAAGTTTCAGCTTTTCTGGTCCAGTGGTTCTTGAGAAGAAGATTTTTCAAGATTTTTTCTATATATTTCAATGTAAAACTTGGATTCCCTATTGTGGCCCCGCCCTACCCCCGGGGGTCATGATTTTAATAATTTAGAATCTACACTATCCCAGGATGCTTCCACATAAGTTTCAGCTTTTCTGGCCCAGTGGTTCTTGAGAAGAAGATTTTTCAAGATTTTTCCTATATATTTCAATGTAAAACTTGGATTCCCTATTGTGGCCCCGCCCTACCCCCGGGGGTCATGATTTTAACAATTTAGAATCTAAACTACCCAAGGATGCTTCCACATAAGTTTCAGCTTTTCTGGCCCAATGGTTCTTGAGAAGAAGATTTTTCAAGATTTTTCCTATATATTTCAATGTAAAACTTGGATTCCCTATTGTGGCCCCGCCCTACCCCCGGGGGTCATGATTTTAACAATTTAGAATCTACACTACCCAAGAATGCTTCCACATAAGTTTCAGCTTTTCTGGCCCAGTGGTTCTTGAGAAGAAGATTTTTCAAGATTTTTCCTATATATTTCAATGTAAAACTTGGATTCCCTACTGTGGCCCCGCCCTACCCCCGGGGGTCATGATTTTAACAATTTAGAATCTACACTACCCAAGAATGCTTCCACATAAGTTTCAGCTTTTCTGGTCCAGTGGTTCTTGAGAAGAAGATTTTTCAAGATTTTTCCTATATATTTCAATGTAAAACTTGGATTCCCTATTGTGGCCCCGCCCTACCCCCGGGGGTCATGATTTTAACAATTTAGAATCTACACTATCCCAGGATGCTTCCACATAAGTTTCAGCTTTTCTGGTCCAATGGTTCTTGAGAAGAAGATTTTTCAAGATTTTTCCTATATATTTCAATGTAAAACTTGGATTCCCTATTGTGGCCCCGCCCTACCCCCGGGGGTCATGATTTTAACAATTTAGAATCTACACTATCCCAGGATGCTTCCACATAAGTTTCAGCTTTTCTGGCCCAGTGGTTCTTGAGAAGAAGATTTTTAAAGATTTATTCCTCTATATGTCAATGAAAAACTTGGATTCCCTATTGTGGCCCCGCCCTACCCCCGGGGGTCATGATTTTAACAATTTAGAATCTACACTACCCCAGGATGCTTCCACATAAGTTTCAGCTTTTCTGGCCCAGTGGTTCTTGAGAAGAAGATTTTTTAATGACCCCACCCTATTTTTGTCTTTTCTTGATTATCTCCCCTTGTAAGGGGACTTGGCCCTTTATCTTAACAATTTAAACTCCCCTTCACCCAGGGATACTTTGTACCAAGTTTGGTTAAAATTGGCCCAGTGGTTCTTGAGAAGAAGTTGAAAATGTGAAAAGTTTACAGACGGACGGACAGACGGACGGACGACGGACAATGGGTGATCAGAAAAGCTCACTTGAGCTTTCAGCTCAGGTGAGCTAAAAAGTTTTGTCTTAGGATTTTATACTTCTAAGATACTCTTCTGAACTCTGTGACCTTGACTTTTGTGTTGATAGCACTTGATCAGGGTCATGTCATATCATATACTTTTTTTGCTGAGGAATAATTAATTGTTCGAATTGAAGGCTGTGTCTTATGATTGTACCCAGTTTTGTTATAATTTAAAGCTGAACACAATTCATAAAAGGAAACATTATTTTTGTTTGCCACATTTGTTTTCTATATATTGTACTCCTCCCGTCCCTATATAAGCCTAACATTGTTCACAATTCAATATATTTCTCTTCATGGAGTTTATCTGAACAGACTCTCTTTCATTGTTATTATGATAGAATTGGGCATGACAAAAATGATTATTTTCTGTATGCCTCTGCCACATCAGGATAAACAGTTATATCAATTGTCTGGTCAATGCATTACAAAGTGAAATAAAGCATAAACAAAAAGACAATGTAAGATATACATAATTATGCACAGAGCAGTGACCAGGTAAAAGCAGTCAGTTGTAATGAATGCAAAGGGTTTATATACCCCATAGCTGATATAGGAGATAGAAAAACTAATATGGTGTTTGCCTATTTACAAGTCATGTTCAGCTTTAAATGGCCCTCGAGGCATGCAAACAAGATGTTTTTACATCACATGAGTCACTAAAGTGACCTAATGCTATCTGGGTTTTTTTCCCCCTCTCAACAAAGTTGAAGGGGATATAGCTTGTGTGTGGTGGGTGGTTGAGTATGTGCATAACAGGTTACACAAGTAATAATTTATAATAAGATCAATGCGCCCATTCATGAGGGGATGCTCTGCTTTGCAGTGCCCTTGTTTTTTGTCTTTCTTTAACTTTTGAACATTTGCATCTTCTTCTGGGGAATGGCTGACCCATATTCAACAAAATATTATTTGATATTCTAGTAAAGCATATATGGTTAAAAGAGAACAAAAACTGGTCTCTGTCTCTATTGGGCCTAAGGGGTGGGATCAAATCCATCAAAAATTAATGCAATCTTCAAAATCTTCTTTACTCCTGAACATATTTTATTTTTTTTTTCTTGTATACATTTCACAATATGCTTAGGTTACATATACATAGTCTCTTTGTTCTATGGTGCTCTGATAGGGCCTTTTTGCTCTTTGGCTAAGGAAAAAACATGAGGGTGACATATAGATGGACAGAGAATGTGAGAGCAACACACAACTGAGAGATGAATTCAAAGCAAAAACAAAAAGGATACAAAATAACAGTGATGTCTATCTCCAATTGTTGTTTCCCTCCCATTCTTGCTCCCTTGCATCCCCCCTTCTTGTGTTCTCACTTGGTTGCCCACACATTTTCACTACCTTGCATTGTCAACCTTGCATTTTCTCTTGGTTGCCCTTGCATTCTACCTCACAGATCTGTCTCCTTACACCCTCGCTTATTCCCACTCCCTTTCTGGCTCCCTAATGTTGTCACAATTTGGTTGCTGCTTCCTTGCCCTCAGGCCAAAGAAGAAATGTACCAAAAGGCCCTATCTGTACACCATTCTGATCTATACAAGAATTCTTTACAAACTGTTATAAGGCTGGTGGCTGAAATTAATTCTATGTTTAACATCACCTTTAAACTTCAACAACTATGAGGGAGGGAGAAAACAATTAAACGAACAAAAATTTCAAACCAATGAGTATTAACTCATTTATATGAATTAAAATATTGTAAATATTTGTGCATCATGTAGGCTTATTGTTTAATGTCCATTTTCAGTAAATCTGTCAGTTCAAATGACAGACTCAGCTCAAATATACTTCACAGAAGGCCCAAATGTTTGTCTTTCCCTATGGAATGCAGTTTTTAGATTCTAAAAGTAAAAGCAAACCGAAATAAAAACTGAAAAATATGCGTGGGTGATGGTAACATACAATTACAGAAACTTTGTACTGCCTTAAAGTGTATAAGCAGTTATAAATCATATGTATTAATATGAAAATGTGTTTGTGAAACACCAATGCCCCCATAGGGCACCTTTTTCAAAAGTAGGTCAAACTCCAAGGTCAAAGTCATGAGGGTAAAAAATGTTAAAGGTCTTGTAACAAGGAATACAAAAGTGTAACATGAAAGCTCTAGCACCAACTGTTCAAAAGATATGACCAAGGTTAAAGTTTTACAAAAGTAGGTTAAAGTCCAAAGTCAATAATGTTGGTACCCAAAGAAAGGATTTTTAACATGGATACACAAGGATCTCAAAGAAAGGTCTTGTCACAAGGAATATACATGTAAAATAAAAAAGCTCTGCCATTAACCAATAAAAAGTTATGTCCAAGTTCAATGTTTTACCAAAATAAGACAAAAGAAGGTCAAACTCCAAGCACAAGGTAATGATGTCAGATGGTACTCAAAGAAAGGTCTTGTCACAATGAATACACATGTGAAATATGAAAGCCCTAGCATCAACCATTCAAGGTTAAAGTTCTTGCAGACAGACAGAAAGACCAAAAACTATATGCCCCCCAATCTCCATTAGAGGGGCATAAAAACATTTTGAAATGTCATATGATTTTTTTTTTTGGAACACTCCAAAAAACTTCCTAAAACAAATTTTTCTTAAAATATGTACAAAGTTAAATACTGTACACTGTATACCTTTATAAAAAATGCACCAGATGGGAAAAAATGAATGCATGTTATTCCAGTCAAACAACAAAGCATGCATTCATGAAAAGAAAGAAAAAAAATTTCACGAAGAAACATTCATAAACACATCATTCACAATACACAAAACTCTTCCATGAGATCAGGGAACTGATCCATTTGTTTGTCCTTTACATTCAGTTTATTTTACAAGAACATTCTTGGTGGTGTTTTTTCCACAGCCTTAATATCTTCATCAGCTGTCTTCATTTTCATCTTCTCTGTAATTGATGGCCATCCCTCTATGACAGAAGGAGTAAAAGGCTTGTCTATTGCTTAACATATCCCAAGTCCTGCAAAATTTCAAATTAATGTTTCAACTTTTTTTTCAACTAAGTGATCCATGGGTCAAAATGCTCATCTGAGTCACATTATATTCTATCCCTTTTGTAACCCGACCCTACCATTTGGGGATCACGATTTGAAAAAAAAAAAGGAATCAGTATAGCTGCAGAACAGCAGTTCTCCATAAAAAAAGATGACAGACCAGAGAGCTACAGTGCCACCCATAGAAAAAAAACAGTACATGTGTATATTTATTGAACACAAAAAATTGCTCGGTTTTAGATTTATTGATGTTTAGTGGCAAGTTTGCATGAAATTGTCCGAGCGGTTCTTGAGAAGAAGCCAGAAAATGTGTAAAAGTTAAGGTCTGATGACACGTTCCACGAATACCGGTATCTGGTTTTGCATTCATTTGTAATATACCACAACACTTTTTAATAATCATTATCTTTTGATTTATAAACTATTTTCAAAATGTCTGAAAAATATATAAACCAACAAGAGGCCCATGGGCCACAACGCTCACCTGAGTCAATATGGCCCTGCTGTTCTTTGTCAGCAGATTTCTTCTTCTATATATTCATACGTAAAGCTTTGATCAACTGTTCTAGGCATAACCTATCCCCAGTTGCCATGTTTTGAATGAAATTGAATCTAAACTTTCTGAGGATGCTTCTATATTCATATAACTAATCATGGTTTTGCTATTCTTGAAACAGAATTTTAAAGATGTCTGCCATCCTACCCTCAGGGGGAGGAAGGGAGGGGGGTTCAAGATTTGAACAAACTTGAATCTACACTACCTAAGGATGCTTCCATATCAATATGACTAATTATGGCTTTGTTGTTCTTGAGAAGAAGATTTTTTAAGATATTTCTTATATATATTCTTTTGTTAAACTTTGATCCCCGATTATGGCCCCACCCTACTACTGGAGGATGCCTTGAACAAACTTGAATCTACAATACTTGGGGATGCTTCAATATCAAAATGACTAATCACGGCTTTCCTGTTCTTGAAAAGATTTTTCCTATTTATTCCTATGTAAAACTTTTATCCCCCATTGTGGCCCCACCCTACCCCTGGGGGTCTTGATTTCGACAAATTTGAATCTACACTATCTAAGGATGATTCCATATCAATATGACTAATTGTGGCTTTGTTGTTCTTGAGAAGAAGATTTTTAAAGAATTTTCCTATATATTCCTATGTAAAACTTTGATCCCCCATTGTGGCCCCACCCTACCCCCGGGGGTCATGATTTGAACAAACTTGAATCTACATTACCTGAGGATGATTCTATATCAAAATGACTAATTGTGGCTTTGTTGTTCTTGAGAAGAAGATTTTTAAAGAATTTTCCTATATATTCCTATGTAAAACTTTGATCCCCCATTGTGAACCCACCCTACCCCCGGGGGTCTTGATTTGAACAAATTTAAATCTACACTACCTGAGGATGATTTCATATCAATATGACTAATTGTGGCTTTGTTGTTCTTGAGAAGAAGATTTTTAAAGAATTTTCCTATGTATTCCTATGTAAAACTTTGATCTCCTATTGTGGACCCACCCTACCCCCGGGGGTCATGATTTGAACAAACTTAAATCTACACTACTCTGAGGATGATTTCATATCAATATGACTAATTGTGGCTTTGTTGTTCTTGAGAAGAAGATTTTTAAAGAATTTTCCTATATATTCCTATGTAAAACTTTGATCCCCCATTGTGGCCCCACCCTACCCCCAGGGGTCATGATTTGGACAAACTTGAATCTACACTACCTGAGGATGATTTCATATCAATATGACTAATTGTGGCTTTGTTGTTCTTGAGAAGAAGATTTTTAAAGAATTTTCCTATATATTCCTATGTAAAACTTTGATCCCCCATTGTGGCCCCACCCGACCCCCGGGGGTCATGATTTGAACAAACTTAAATCTACACTACCTGAGGATGATTTCATATCAATATGACTAATTGTGGCTTTGTTGTTCTTGAGAAGAAGATTTTTAAAGAATTTTCCTATGTATTCCTATGTAAAACTTTGATCCCCCATTGTGGCCCCACCCTACCCCCGGGGGTCATGATTTGAACAAACTTGAATCTACACTATGTAACGAAGGTTTCCCATAAGTTTCAACTTTTCTGGCCCTGTGGTTCTTGAGAAGAAGATTTTTAAAAGAAGACACCAAATTTTCACTTATTCTTAATTATCTCCCCTTGGAAGAGGGCATGGCCCTTCATTTGAACAAACTTGAACCCCCTTCACCCAAGGATGCTTTGTGACAAGTTTGGTTGAAATTGGCCCAGTGGTTCTGGAGAAGAAGTCGAAAATGTGAAAAGTTTACAGACGGACGGACAGACGGACTACGGACAAAATGTGATCAGAAAAGCTCACTTGAGCTTTCAGCTCAAGTGAGCTAAAAATGGCATTATCAGCAGTTCAAGTGATTTCTAGTATAGGATTATATAAGAAATGCCTGGTAATGTACCCCAATTTTTTGTGAGGGAACTTCTTAAACTAGTAATATTTCAATCACAAATTCTGAGGAAAAGTTATATATTTTTTAGGAATGTGTCGTATGACCTTAAGGACATCAGATGATGGAACAGACAAACAGACAAAGTTTGATAAGGAAAGCTCACTTGGATTTAAACTCAAAATGAGCTAAAAAAAAAAAAGAAAAAAGAAGAAGTTATAAGCACAAATATGGATGAACTGGATTCAGTGTAATCAGTTAGATTAAGATCGACTGAGGTACATAGAAAGTCTAAATAAAAAATGAAACAAAGATACCGTATATACTCGCCTATAAATCAGTCCGCCTATAAGTCGGTTGTATGTTTAAGCTTAAATTACAGGGATTGACCCACTAAATAACATTCTTTTTGTAACTTGCGTATAAGTCGGATAAAGGGTTTTAGACCAAAGTTTAACTCACAAAAAAAATGACTTTTAGGCGAGTATATACGGTAAAAAGATGTGACTCTTTTTTCTAAAATTTCCACATAACTCCTCAATTAAAGCATACAATTCCTGTAAAAAAAAAAGTCAAGCATAATAAACTAGATTAGTAGTCAAACTTACTTTGATTCCAGTTCTGCACTGGCACAGATTTCTCTGAAAGAGCCAGCAACATGGACAACCCCATAACAAGTCAAAAGCAGTCCCACAAAACACTGAACTATAATCTGATGAAAAAAAAGACAAACATAGTACATTACTTTGCTTACAAAAATATCAATAATGCCATCTTTAAAAAATTGTTTGTTTGCCCTCTCCCGACCATCTGGCTAAAAATGGCCCGATTGAAACATTTTTTTAAGCTCCAGAAAATAATTATTATTTTTTATTCATTTTGAAATTTTCTCATCCAATGAGGAACTATTATTAACTTCATATCCATATGTATTTTTTAATTAAAAGAATTCCCCCCCCCCCCCTACCTACCGACCAAATTTCTTTATCCTGAGTCAGGAGGGGGCAAACAGACATTTTTTTTAAAGATGGACTAATATAACAATGTCTCTATAAATTATATCTTTTAATAATTCCAAATCATTCGACATATCCATGGTATTCGAGATATCAACGCTCGAGATACTGAAGTTCAACAGTCACTGTATATGCTATGCTGCTTAGCTAGATTTTCTGTCAGTTGTATTCAACAATATCATTAATTTATAACCTATTAAAATATTCACTAATACATGTACATGTTCTTCTATTTAATTTTATTTTCCCCAGACAACAGCATCATTTTTCATGATTATTCATGATTCTTCATTAGAGCAAAGATTAATTTCTGTAATTAGTCAAGAGAATTTTATTCTCACATTGACACAAACTCGCAAAAGTAAATGAACATTATATTCCTTGAAAATAAAATGTTATTTGCAGTATATCTATAACTAGAAATATGTCTTGAGCATATGAATACCCCACCAAGGGTTCATTAGTAATGCAACATGAAAAGAAATGTACCTTTGATCTTTCTTGAAGAATGGGGGTAACTGAGGAATAAGGTGAGGTCAGGGTCACTGGGAAAGTTAAGGTCAGAAATTTGTACCCATTGTGTATTACTTTATGAAGTTGATGAAAATATCTATAAAAGTTTCTTAAACTGAGTTTTAAACACAACAAATACATGTAGTAGAGTCAAAGGTCATAGGGAAGGTCAAGAAAAAAAAATTGAACACAGCTAATTGATAAGTTCACAACAATATTTGTCAGAATATGTGTTTAGATAAAAATATCTTGAATAGTCTCTGAAATTAAACTAATGCAAATTTAAGAATAGTAAGGTCAAAGTGACAAGGTCATACAGAAGGTTAATGTAAAAAAAAAAATAATGATGCAGTTGAATAGCTCACACCAATATGAATCAGTACACAAAGTTTGATAAAAGTTTCTTTAAAACTAAATTAGTTATAAATTTAAGAAAATTCAGGTCTAAGTCAAAGGGAAGGTCAGGGAAGGAAGGTCAAGGAAGAAAAAAATAGATGCAGTTCAATAGCATTCACCAAAATACATCAGCATATGAACATGATGAAGTTTGATAAACATTATCTTGATTTACTTCTTTGAAACTGAGCTAAAAACAAATTTAAGACAAGAGGCCCATGGGCCACAGCGCTCACCTGAGTAACTTTGGCCTTGCTGTTTTTCACCTGATTTCTCCCCCCCCCCCCCCCCTTGTAGTACTTATTGTGCAACCCACCCCCCCCACCCCCGAGGGTCATGATTTGAACAATTTAGAATCTACACTACCCAAGAATGTTTCCACGTTAGTTTCAGCTTTTCTGGCCAAGTGGTTCTTGAGAAGATTTTTACTACATATTTCAATGCAAAACTTGGATTCCCTATTGTGGCCCCACCCTACCCCCCGGGGTCATGATTTGAACAATTTAAAATCTACACTACCCCAGGATGCTTTCAAATAAGTTTCAGCTTTTCTGGCCCAGTGGTTCTTGAGAAGAAGATTTTTTAATATTTTTACTATATATTTCAATGTAAAACTTGGATTCCTTATTGTGGCCCCGCCCTACCCCCAGAGGTCATGATTTGAACAATTTAGAATCGACACTACCCAAGAATGCTTCCAAATAAGTTTCAGCCTTTCTGGCCCAGTGGTTCTTGAGAGGAAGATTTTTACTATATATTTCAATGTAAAACTTGGATTCCTTATTGTGGCCCCACCCTACCCCCCGGGGTCATAATTTGAACAATTTAGAATCGACACTACCCAAGGATGCTTCCAAATAAGTTTCAGCCTTTCTGCCCCAGTGGTTCTTGAGAAGAAGATTTTTACTACATATTTCAATGTAAAACTTGGATTCCTTATTGTGGCCCCGCCCTACCCCCGGGGGTCATGATTTGAACAATTTAAAATCTACACTACCCCAGGATGCTTCCACATAAGTTTCAGCTTCTCTGGCCCAGTGGTTCTTGAGAAGAAGATTTTTAAAGATTTTTACTATATATTTCAATGTAAAACTAATTTGGATTCCTTATTGTGGCCCCGCCCTACCCCCGGGGTCATGATTTGAACAATTTAGAATCGACACTACCAAAGAATGCTTCCAAATAAGTTTCAGCCTTTCTGGCCAAGTGGTTCTTGAGAAGAAGATTTTTACTACATATTTCTATGTAAAACTTTGATTCCCTATTGTGGCCCTGCCCTACCCCCGGGGGTCATGATTTGAACAATTTAGAATTTACACTACCTCAGGATGCTTCCATATAAGTTTCAGCTTCTCTGGCCTAGTGGTTCTTGAGAAGAAGATTTTTAAATATTTTTACTATATATTTCAATGTAAAACTTGGATTCCTTATTGTGGCCCCACCCTACCCCCGGGGGTCATGATTTGAACAATTTAGAATCTACACTACCTAAGGATGCTTCCACATACGTTTCAGCTTCTCTGGCCCAGTGGTTCTTGAGAAGAAGATTTTTAAAGATTTTTACTACATTTTCTATGTAAAACTTGGATTCCTTATTATGGCCCCGCCCTAACCCCGGGGGTCATGATTTGAACAATGTAGAATCTACACTACCCCAGGATGCTTCCACATACGTTTCAGCTTTTCTGGCCCAGTGGTTCTTGAGAAGATTTTTTAATGACCCCACCCAATTTTTGTATTTTCTTGATTATCTCTCCTTTGAACGGGACTTGGCCCTTCATTTTAACAATTTAAACTCCCCTTTACCCAAGGATGCTTTGTACCAAGTTTGGTTAAAATTGGCCCTGTGGTTCTTGAGAAGAAGTCGAAAATGTGAAAAGTTTACAGACGGACGGACAGATGGACGGACGGACGACGGACAACGGGTGATCAGAAAAGCTCACTTGAGCTTTCAGCTCAGGTGAGCTGAAAAGTGAGATCAGAGGGAGGGGCAAAGTCAATAACTTTTGATGCAGTTGTATAGCTCTCAATAATATGTATCAGCATCAGTGTTTTCCTTAAGAACCGGCTACCAGCCAAATTGACCGCTTCAATTTATAAAAATGCCGCCTTGAAATAAAAAAATCAAAATTTAATTGTTGTAAGGTCCACAGAGATTTGAAATAAACTTCAACCCAAAGCCTGTTAAATTGATCCCTAACCCTTTACTTTGAAATAAAGGGAAAACATTGCAGCATATTAAGTTTGATAAAAATGTCTTGAATAGATTACTTTCTTTGAAACTGAATGAAACACAAATTTAAGAAAAGTGAGGTCAAGGTCAAAGGAAAGGTAAAAAAATGTTGATGCAGTTGAATAGCCCTCATCAATTTGTATCAGCATATCAAGTTTAATAAAAATATTGTGAAGAGTTTCTTTGATACTGAGCCAAACACAAATTTGAGAAAAGTGAAGTCAAGGTCAAAGGAAAGGTCAACAACAAAAAATTCTGATGCAGTTGAATAGCCCTCACTGCTCAACATCAGCATACAAGGTTTGATAGAAATATCTTGAATAAATTTCTTTGAAACTGAGCCAAATGCTAAGTGTGATGGATAGAAGAAGGACAGAATGATGGAAAGATGAAAGGAAAGAAGACAGACATGCCAAACACTAAATTACCCCAGCCATATTGGCAGCTAGGGCATTAAAAAACCTTCTTGATGCAACAGAGCTAGTCTTATTTTTTTTTAAAGATGCATGATTTTAAACATCCTTATGTAAAGCTACTCTTTCAAATATTTTTTTCTGTCCTGAAGAAAACGGGTAATTGGGAAAAATACTGTGAAACCCTTAAGGTACTCAGTAGCAATAACAGATGAGAAAAAGTTCTGTGTTGTAAAAATCTTTTAAAAATATTTTACCTGACTAAGATTTAAAGTTCCTTCTAGCAGTAGCTAGTTGATGAACCCTTTATGTTAGAAATTAGAGTGTCAGATTTGAAATCAAAGGGTGGTAGTCACATTGAGGACAACCTTAACTAATGATAAATCATGCTAACTGGTCATAATATCAACAGAGAAACAATGGTATAGTTCACTTGGAAATGACATCTGTTGGACATTCTCCTAACAATAATCTAAAATTATTCTTTAACACTGAATTACAGTTGAACTTTGGTATCTCAAATGCTGATATCTTTATATATATGTCGAAGTGATTTGAAAGTCCTAACCACTATTTTCTAATAGTATTTTAACCTCAGTATCTAAGACTGCACATCTGTGGTCCCATTGAAATCAAGATAACTAGGTTTGTATTTACTTTACTTTAAAACACTTACATCAATAGGTAAAGTGGTGAATTCTTGCTCTGTCAATCGAAGGTAAGTCCTATCTGAAAAACAAAGAGAAAATTAAAACAATATTATGCTTATGTCTAATTTCAGTATCTTGAACATATCTTAAATTAGCTTAAGGGAACTCCTTTGTGGTGGAAGAAAAGGGAACTCCTTTGTGGTGGAAGAAGGAAAGCTGTGGACAATGTGCGGCTGAATTCACCACAAGATCTGATCATGATTTTTTAAGAGCACATGTAATAAAGAAGTCCTGGTGAAATATCTTGCTGAACATTTGGGTGAACCAGGCATATAAAACTTTAAGCTAAGTTGATCCTTCTAATTCTTTCTTTCCAATGTCAGACAATAGTTCCTTATGGAAGTTGATAAAATACTCTAAACATTCCAAATTTAATGACCTGCTATCTGATATACATTGTACTTTCAGCATACTGATTGTTTAAATCATTCAAACACTAGCATAAAGAATGTTACATCTTGGAAATCTGGCAAGATTTAGAGCTTCCTCTACTTTGTCTCAAAACTCTTCATTAAATTCAACTATTTCTTTCTGATAAAAGTTATGTGTTAAAGATGATAAAATGCTCTTAACATTTCAAAACAACCTACTATCTGACGTGCAAACCTCAGCAATATACTTTCGGCATACCAATTGTTTAATCATTCAATTGTCACTACATGAAAATGTTGCTTCTTGGAAATCTCACAAGATTCAGAGCTTTCTCCACTTTTTTGCAAAAGAGCAACAGTAAGTTAAATAACTCAGAACTCAGAAGTAATCTTCAAACTAAGTGTTCATAGCTGATTAGCATATGCTTTGTCTTGTATAAAAGTTATCCCCCTGTTTTTTATTTGAATCCGGATGGTTTTGCCCCTATTACCTGTTCGAAGGGATGCGCAATTTTATCGGTAAATTACTGGTATATTGTGATTTTTTATTGCGTGATACGCATCGCGATATGGAGACTAAAACACTGGTATTAATTGGTACATAATCATAAATTCCGGAAATTATTCATTTATTTGTTCAAACTATTAAATAACAATTATTGGAAGTGTAAAGAATGTTGAAAAAAGTTAAATGGCATCCAAACATGCTTTATATTATAAAATAAAAATTTAAAAAGTGAACTTATGTTTTTATAGCATCTTTGTAAGAAATATTATGCAAATTCATTGGAATTTGTTGTAAAAATTGTGTGTAAAAATATCACATTATCGTGATATTCTGGGAAAAAATTGTGATATATCACGATACGAAATTTAAGGCGATACCCATCTCTACCTGTTTGTGCTGGGCGGTTTCACGCCATTTCCCTGTTCCCCCTGAGTGGATTCGCCCCGAGTGGTTTTCTACAATCATACAGTGTACTTGATGTTTATTTAAGCAAAAGTCTTTTGATCACTGAGTATTTAGATTAACATAATTAATGAGCACTTTAATTAAATTTAATCATGAGTTGTTGATCAACACAAATAATCATTTCTAATTTTAACGACAGATGATATGAACTTTTCATTAAAAAATCGAGAACACAGGAAAAAAACCCAACTTAATTCATCTGTATTAAAATATGTAAAATATACAAGTTTAGTTATTTTATTCCAACAATCTCCATCTTTTTATCAAATTTTGATCTAAGTAGATTTACTTTATTAAAATCGTAATCAAATAGGTGCACCATGTAGAACGCTTTAGATACAATAAAAACTTTTCCCATAGAACACATGCAAAAACCATAAAACATTGAAGATTTGTTATAGCAAACTGTCAAAATACACACGTGGAAAAAATTAACACCTTTAATTGCAGGTTACAGGTATAATTCGGGCGAAACCACTCGCTGCGAAACCACTTAGAGCGAACGTGAAATCAGGGTGAACCCATCCGTTATCATTTATTTTCCAACATTGCCAATAAATGGAATGCATTCTATCGTTAAACCAAAGATAATAGCATTTTTACAACAGAAGGATAAAATGAAAGATATCTAAAAAACTATGAATATGTCAAAGTGATTGGGATCAAAGTCCCAATCACTTTTTTCTTCATGATTTTAACTTCAATATTTCGAATCCTAGCTTTCTAATATTTTTTTCTTTGTCCCATCGTGTTCAAAATGACGAAGTTTGACTGTACATACTAAATAGATTGATAAAATAGAATCGGAATACTGATTCTTGATCATGTCGCATGAATTAAAATTACTTTCTGAATTTAATTTAAAAGTTTCATCACTTTGTATTAACAATAATTGATATCTTACGTTGTGCAGCTGAGTATGCCGCATGTAACATTGCTGCAAGACCAAAGAAAACACAGATTTTGGAAAAATCCATGATTATCTTTTACTTTACTGACACCGGAAGTTCAACATGATGTTAAAAATGGTAAGGGTAAAACTAAACCCCTACAGGTCCTTGCAGTCCACTTGATATTGTCTTTGAAAAAGAAAAAAATGAAGATGTCACAGAACTAACGATCAATTAAAAAAATATAAATACTACATTAAAATGAGTTTAGTATAAATAAGCCAAGACAGCCTAAATTATTGCACAAACAATAATAATGGCAATTTCTTTATTTGCAGAATGTGTCTGTTTTTACCAACATGCCAAATGGTTGTCGCAATAAACTCAGTTTTTTTTATTAAAAATCAGGACATTCATTTGAACATACATATATATGTGTGGATTAGTTTCGTTGAATAGACTAGTACATAATCTTAACAATTCTCTTTAACATTGAAAATTTTTAGTTTTGCGACAACCATTTTTTGGGAAGCTGATCAGCTGTCCATGCACCGCACGGCCGAAGGAAAAGGTTATTGTTTTCCCCTTTTTATTGTATTGATACAAAAGATATAGCACATGTATTGATGAATTCTTGTATATTTAATCGAGGTTAAGAGACTGGGACTCGAGCACTTGATCATTGAACGTTGAAGTTGATTCTCCATGAGTGTGTCAGTGTGTCCATCTATAAGTACTGCTGGTACACAGTGCTGGTTTTCTGTTCAAATTGACAAGATATTACATTTAAATAAGAAGTTTTGGAAGGCCAATAGCTTAGAATAATAACAGATGCCACAGCCAGAGACAATGATAATTTCTCGATTTCTGGTGTTGCATCAGCCAATTTAATCCGAGATTCCTCTGATTTTTAATTACCCTGCTTTTATATTTTGGTATGTAATATGCAGAGAAAGGGTGGGTGGGTGATGTTGGGATGGGGTGGTGTTGGTTGGTTCGTAAGGGTGGATGGTGGAAGTTAGAGCAAATGCCATAGCAAGGAACTAGAATTCCCCATAACCATCTTGTACCTGTTATGACATTTCTTCCCTCTTGTGTCGCAGTTCCAATTTCCAAACAGTTAACTTCCAAGGCTCATTACAGATTTGAATGTGAATAAATCATATTTTTATGTTGGCTAATATGCATGCTTCTTTTTTTAAGCACCACAATAATTGGCAAACATCCACCTATTTTGAACTGAAGCAATCTAAGATCCCTCTGACTCTTATCCCACTGAAGCAGTACAATATGCAATTTAGCATATATGAAAATGTTTTAATAATTAATTAAATAAATGTGCACCTTCCAACTGTAGATTCAAATAAATCCTATTCCTGCAATTTTGATTGGAATTTTTTTTTCTTTGAATTTTTAGCTCTACTGGTCAAAGTGCTACTTCTCCTTCAGTTTTAGTCTGATTTCAATACAACTGCATACACAAGTACACTAAGATACATTATTCTGTTTAATGGTTTTTGATTTCTTTGAACAGTGCTGCCATGGTTACTAAAAATAAAATTTCTCTGTGAAATTTTTTCAAAACACTACTACTACTACAGGTTCAGTCCAATTTTAAACTATCTTGGTATACAAGTAGAATACACAAAGATACGTAATTCTGTGTATCAGTTTTTGATTTCAATAATGGCTGGATCCGCCTTTGGTTAACATGCACATTGATATACATGTTTATTTATTACATTCATTTCTGTATTCTTTGCAGATCAGTTTGGAAGATAAATAAACCTTCTGTTAAAAAGAAGGTGTTCATTAGTAGGTACATGGTGTGTAATTAAACATCCTGACTGTTAAAAAATCAGACAACACCTATTATACCTATCATGCATACCTTATCCTTCTACCTGAGGCATAAATTCAAACAATCAAAGATTCATTTAAATAGCAATGATGCAATTCACAAAACTGTTTCCTATAATAAATGTTACCTCAACTGATTATGAAATGAATTATCATTTACTATAATTGTAGAATAAAAAAAGACTTCTGCCATTTTGAAAATGCTAACCACATAAAGGTAGAGGTAAGTGAAAATCATGAAGTTTACAATTAGTTATCATTAGTAATAATATTGACAAGGAAGTTTAAAAATACAGGTATGTTTAAACAAACATGATGAGTTAACTGTTTTCCAATCAGTTCTACAAACCTTACTTCATGACACATACATGCTCATATATACCTGGTACTTGCCACTTGATGTCTTCTACAGTCTGAGTTCATAAGGCATTATTCCAGACTCTTACGATTTCGCCGTATTTTGTATGGATTTTGAGTCCTAAATACGTCTCACGTTTTACTTTAATGAAAATCCGAAATCCGTTCGTTTGTATTTTAGCAGTTAGTTTTCGTTATGATCTTTCTTAGTTTGACGCTTTTTAATCACTAAAAAAGAAAGATTTCAAACACTTAAGTGAAGTCGGGTTTCCAAAACGCGGTGGTTTCTCTAGTAATATATGTAAAATCGATGGAAAGTGAAATCTTACGGGTAAATGCCAAATTTCACTGACAAATCTAATAAAAAATACTGAAAGACAACAATATGGGTAAACAGGTCTGTTATTCATTTCTGCATTTGTATTGATCACATTGGTCTGCTGATATGACTCTTCAAACTCAAGGTCACTCAAGATTCAGGAAATCTTTTCCTTGTCCAATATTAACTGTATACTGATAGTGTAATCATGGTAATTTTTGAATGATTTTCATTGTTGTTGACCATTTTTGCTTTGATTGATGGTAACTAAAATTGTACTGACTTACATTCTGGACCAAATCCCCAACATCAAGGTCTGTGTGTGTGGGTTTTTTTTTTAATTTTGAATGTGGATAAATTTTTTTGAATTTTTTGTATTAGGATCATATTAGATGGTGTCCATTTTCTTCTTTAGTTTAAGGTTTTTATCAAAATATTTAATTGCCAGTATGCAACAAAAGATATATCTTTTTATCATGTAATGTAAGTATGTTTGTTAGAAAACATAGAACTTATTACAACTTAAGATATAAAAAGAATTAAAGTAGATTGTATCTTAAAAAGAAAAGATAACATTAAAATCATGATCAACTGCAATATAAACACTCTGACCAATTGTCTCCATCCAATACATCTTTTTTGCTTGAATGTAAATTTTGCATTTAATAAGGAAGTGTAATTTAATATGAACGAATAATATAAACCCAGTTAAAACAATGGGTATTATTATCTTCCTGCTCCTTGTGAGGGTCACTAAACTGAGTTAATGACTTGCGTACCCTCTATATAATTTTTTTATTTCTGTATTCAGAGCCCTTTAAATGAGACATGAAGGGAAACAGTGAAAGGGATAGTGATCACAAAAATGAAGAGAAAGCAGACAGTGGTCACCAGGGAAGTGAAAAAGTCCAAACACCACAGTATGATGTACCAGTGGACCGAGGGTGGGCCTGGGTGGTACTGTTAAGTATGTTTAATCATTTTTAATACAAACAAAAGTACTCAGGACTTTCAAATATTTGAGTGTCTAATAATTGGTAAGATGTCTTGATGAATCTTCTGAGGTAAAAAATATGTTTTGCCTTAAACCACCCCAACAATGATACCTGTATTCTCAGTCATATTTTATAAAAAGTATGTTGATTTTTTTCCTCAAATGAATGGTTGAGCTCAAAAAAAGTTATATTTACAGTTAGTGGATGATAAAATAATATTTTTATAAAATATTTTCAATTTAAGATAATATAAACATTTAGGGATTTTGATCTTGAGGATATTTCATGATGAAAAGGCTTAAAATGTTAAAAGTTAGTGCAAATTTTGGCAGGTACTTTCACCATAGCCATATTTGTCATCGGAGGAATCAAATCCTTTGGAGTTTTACTGGTGGAGTTTTCCAGAGTCTACAAGAGTCCTCAGAGTCAGCTGACCACCATTCAGTCCATTACAGGCTTTTTCTTCCTCTCCCTCAGTAAGATTTATGAAAATGTTAATACATGTGTATGATTTATAAATATTAAGCTTAAAATGAGACTACTTTTAATAGAGAGAGAAATTTTTGGGATGATAATTTTCAGGTTTTATTCCCTAGTGATTTCAAATGGACTTAATTTCATGAGTTTTTTTAAAGGTATTTATTGCTTTTGTGTTTTGGGGCAAAAAATGAGAAACATTTACAATAATGTCACTCAAAACTGCTTATCTTCCTAAATCCTTTTTTATATGTACAAATTGTAAAACAAAAAGTAGTATAAATTTGATTTCATAAACACTCACCGATACATTCATTATCTCCATCATTCTTCCATCCTCACAACATCAGGGGCCCTGAATCCATTCAGGGCTGTGAGACCCCTGACAAACTTCATTGGATTTTCTCCAGGCCTTCTTCGCTCATTGAGAACCACCAATCAAATTGGGTCTTTCAAAAGTTGACATAAAAAGTAAACAGAAAGTAAGCAGTTGACACCTCAATACACATGCTACAGGTTGTTTGTCACCAAAAGGCTTAATGTGATTGGTCAAGAGATAAGAAAAACAGTCACACAGGATTTTAAATTTCTTGTAAAGACATCACTTCAGTAAGCCCATAAAAAATCAAATGAAGTTTGTCAGGGGTCCCACAGCCATGGTGGATTCAGGGCCCCAATGTTTTGAGGATGCATTTCTTCCTACACACATCATTTCTGTTTCGTTTTACAATGAATGAAATATTATTCTTTTATGCTTTTGATGCTTAAATGACAGAAGTATTTTTGTCAGGGTTAAGTAGAGTTAAGAATTATCAGACTGTGCAGAGAATAAGACCATGTCCAGATGTCCTCAGTGAGCACTAGGTAATTCTGAACTTGCTACATACTGAGTCTCCTAGCTTCCTCACAATCCTGAAATATGTGTCAAATTCAACCATTCAACTTGTAATATCAGAGTGATGATAAATTTATTCCATATCACATTCCCTCTTTTGTCTTTATAAATTTATAAACAGCATTACACCGTATCATCAAACCCATATATATATCCAAATGGGAAACAAATAAGCACACTTTATACACCACCATTGTATGATATAACATTCAGTAGATCACTATATTTTTGGGACAACTTATTTTCGCATGATAGACAATTACTCTTTATTAGCGAGACAACATTTTCACAAATTATGATTATTGCTGTATATAATCTTTAGGAATAATAATATACACGAGAATGAAATTTTCGTGAGCATACTGTCTCATGTAATTACGCGAAAATAAAGTTCCTTGCGAAAATAAAGTGATTTACAGCACCATTACATTTATGCCTCTTTATGTTATAATTACTTTCACCATATAATAGGATATATCTTACAATTAAATCAAAGCCTTCCTCTTTATTTTAAATACACATGTATTAGTAATACATGATATTTTTTATTCTTGGATATAACTTACCATTAGAGTTAAGCCCCTTTGCATTCAAATTACACCATCATAATACTTAAGATATAACATACCATTAGAGTTATCCCTCTTTTATTAAAATTGGTTGATGAATATGGTCATTACAAGAAAAAGAGTCACAGAGAACTCACATGATACAATTTGTATACCACACAGCATTTTTTTCAGGTCCCTTTTCAAACTGGCTGTGTGAGCGCTTTACACATCAGAAGGTTATCTTTATCGGAGGCCTGTTAACTAGTTCTGGATTGATTCTTAGCTTCCTAGCACCATCAATAGAAGTAATGTACTTCACTTATGGAGTGCTTACAGGTTAGAAGTTGAATTTGTGATTAAACTGCTTTCTTTAGTTTATAATGAATATCAATGATATAGCTTTGTGATATGTTCTACAACTTTTTGTAAAGCTCATAAATTACTTAGATAATATTCATTTTTAGCTCACCTGAGCCGAAGGCTCAAGTGAGCTTTTCTGATCACTTTTTGTCCGTCGTCCGTCTGTCCGTCTGTCCGTCTGTAAACTTTTCACATTTTCGACTTTTTCTCAAGAACCACTGGGCCAAATTCAACCAAACTTGCCACAAAGTATCCTTGGGTGAAGGGGATTCAAGTTTGTTCAAATGAAGGGCCACGCCCTCTTTCAAGGGGAGATAATTAGGAATTAGTGAAAAAATAATGGCATCATTTAAAAATCTTCTTCTCAAGAACCACTGGGCCAGGAAAGATGAAACTTATATGGAAATATCCTCAGGTAGTGTAGATTCAAGTTTGTTCAAATCATGACCCCGGGGGGTAGGGAGGGGCCACAATGGGGGATCAAAGTTTTACATAGAAATATATAGGAAAATATCTTTAAAAATCTTCTTCTTAAGAACAGCAAAGCCATGATTGGTCATAATTATATGGAAGCATCCTCAGGTAGTGTAGATTCAAGTTTGTTCAAATCATGACCCCCGGGGGTAGGGTGGGGCCACAATGGGGGATCAAAGTTTTACATAGAAATATAAGAAAATATCTTTAAAAATCTTCTTCTTAAGAAAAGCAAAGCCATGATTGGTCATATTTATATGGAAGCATCCTCAGGTAGTGTAGATTCAAGTTTGTTCAAATCATGACCCCTGGGGATAGGGTGGGGCCACAATTGGGGATCAAACTTTTACATAGAAATATACAGGAAAAAATGTTTTCCTCAAGAACAGAAAAGCCATGATTAGTAAATTTGATATGGAGGCATCTTTGGGTAGTGTAGAATGAAATTTGTTCAAATCATGACCCCCGGGGGTAGGGTGGGGCCACAATGGGGGATCAAAGTTTTACATAGAAATATATAGGAAAATATTTTAAAAAATCTTCTTCTTAAGAACAGCAAAGCCATGATTGGTCATATTTATATGGAGGCATCCTCAGGTAGTTTAGATTCAAGTTTGTTTAAATCATGACCCCCGGGGATAGGGTGGGGCCACAATGGGGGATCAAAGTTTTACATAGAAATACATAGGAAAATATCTTTAAAAATCTTCTTCTTAAGAACAGCAAAGCCATAATTAGTCATATTTATATGGAAGCATCCTCAGGTAGTGTAGATTCAAGTTTGTTTAAATCATGATCCCTGGGGATAGGGTGGGGCCACAATGGGGGATCAAAGTTTTACATAGAAATATACAGGAAAATATCTTTAAAAATTTTCTTATTAAGAACAGCAAAGCCATGATTGGTCATATTTATATGGAAGCATCCTCTGGTAATGTAGATTCAAATTTGTTCAAATCATGACCCCCGGGGGTAGGGTGGGGCCACAATGGGGGATTAAAGTTTTACATAGAAATATACAGGAAAAAATGTTTTCCTCAAGAACAGAAAAGCCATGATTAGTAAAATTGATATGGAGGCATCCTTGGGTACTGTGGAATGAAATTTGTTCAAATGAGGGACCCCGGGGGTAGGGTTGGGCCAATGGGGGATCAAATTTTTACAAATGAATATATGGGAAAAAATCTTCTGCTCAAGAACAGCAATGCCATTTGTTATATTGATATTAAAGCATCATCAGGTAGTTTAAAATTCAACCCCCCCCCCCCCCCCCCCCCCCCGTTAATTTTTCAATACTTAACTGATTTTTGCTTTTTTTTCCTAGCCAATGTGCTCAGGTGAGCGATGTGGCCCATGGGCCTCTTGTTTCCTTTATTTCTTCCAATTATGAAAAAATTTAGATATATTTCAATTTGGAATAGATTTGACATAAAATTCTTTTATAGAATATTGTGAGATTTTCTTTATTTACAGGTTTTGGGTTTGGTCTTTCATTTCCACCGAGTGTTGTGATAGCAACTCGTCATTTCAACAAAAGAAGAGGACTAGCCAATGGGATCAACATGGCTGGGGCAGCTGTGGGGGGCATATGTATGCCTATCCTGATGCAAATGTTGATTGACAACTTTGGTCTAAAGGGCTGCATGCTGATATTAGGAGGAACCATGGCAAACATCTGTCCCTGTGCTTTACTTCTGAGGCCAACACATCGATACCCAAGACTCGTACATGTATTAACTATTATTATCATGATTGGATTAGGAATTCATTGATACAGTGTATTATTCATTTTTATGTTGCCTGCTAAGCAGAGCAACACTAAGGGAACAGTTGCCTGACTTCTGTCTATCAGACACACCCTAAATCTTTTGAACTGCAAAAGGTAGAATTTGATATATAGCTTGTGCATTGCTTGTCACAAAGGTCTTTAAAAAATCTTTTGAGCCCTAAGAAGTAGTGCTTTGAGTAATATCATGATGAAAGCAATGCAACATTATAATGACATATTATCTTCAGGTTTTTATTTTCTGTGATTTTTTTTAGGGTTGTTCCTCAAGGTTATTCTGTATTCAGATGTTTAATATTGTATATTGAATTTAGGTACAGGAAAAAGTAGAAGAGATGGAGAAACTAGATTCAGATGGAGGTACAAAGAAGGACTGGATGAATTTGGTTACCAGGAAGAATGTAATAGAGATCACAATTGCTGATGGTAATGACGAATCCAGTGAGCAGAAACCCCACATTGAAAATGGAGGGGGAAAAGTGGATCATGATGCAACAACATGTCTGTTAGACAAACCGGAGAGCAAAACACAGTCTCAATTTGTGAGCAGACGACAACATAAGACTTCAGAGAGTAATTCTATAGCAGCCAGCTTAACGGCATTGTCTACTATTTCACTATCGCATCAAAATATTCCACAGGAAATATCTATAGCTGAAGATACCTCAACAGCCAATTCTACAGATTTAATGTGTTGCGAATTTTTCAGAAACTTGAACTTTAGCCTTTTCAAAAACGTCTCGTTCAGCTTACTTCTTATTTCATTTTTCTTTACTGCCTATAGTTATCACTCTATTTTTATCATACTTCCATCCTATGGAATCGAGCAAGGCCTAACTCGGCACCAAAGTATGTCATTTATTCCCGCCTTCGGCATTGTGGATGTCATTGGTCGTTTGATAGCCGGTATCATCAATGACAAGTGCATCATATGGAGGAAATACATATTTATATTCTACATACTTCTTCATGGATTAGGATACATTCTTGTTCCACTTTTCCACAGTTTTTGGGACATCATGATGTGGTGCACAGCTTTTGGAATTTTTACGGGTGGATTCAATGGGACCTTTGTTATTATGATTGTGGATTGTGTTGGAATAGACCTGTTATCCAGTGGTTGGGGTTTTACCTGTCTGATTGTGTCAATAGCAATGCTTATCAATCCAGTGCTATCAGGTATGAATTATCATAAATATACATGTTAAACAGATGATTTCTGCTTGTTTTAATTTTAGAAATTTAATCTTCCAAATATAGCGTTTGAAATCTTGTACTCTATAATTTCAATTGGGTCATAATTAAGATGGAAAATTTGGAAATTTTGCAACTTTATTTTGGAGTGGATTATGAATGAAAAAAATTCTTTAAAAATATATATTGAATTGATCACTACATTTATCATGTTTATAAAAACATTGTTTAGCTATTCTGATTATCATCTTTTAATTTGAAGTAAATTAGGATGAAATATTTTGAATACTCACATCAGAGCTGAGATAAACATGCACTTTTCTGACCTTGAAATTGGTAAATGATAGGTGATAACCTCTTTATTAGGTAATTTATGGCAATCTTCATGTGGATAGATGAAGTGAGATGTATTGAGTTGATCTTTAAGATTTACCGATTTGTGATCTTGACATTGACTTTAAATTGGTAAATGATTTGCCTGGGCTTTCTTTTCTTTTTCTTTAATGTGTAGGTAATGTAGAATTGCTATTAAACAACAATATTTCAATTCACAGTCCAGCCATGTCATCTTCAGATATTATTTTTTATTTTGATTGAATTGCAAAAGATTCAAATATTTATTTACATTTATCATTTATACAGAATCTTTGTCATTTCATAATTGCTTAAATGTTATACAACAATCATATATGATAAAGTGCTAGCTTAATATCATATTGAGTGTTCTAACATGATCAGAAATACACTTTGTGATATATTTTTTTCACACAGGAGGTCTAAAGGACATATCAGGTACCTGGTCAACGTCCATCTTCGTGTCCGCCTCTTTTGCGTTGTTTTCTTTTGCCCTTCTAATAACAGAGGCCATCTTTGCCAGAGTACAGAAAAAGAGAAGAAATAAAGAAGAAAGTTTTTAAGGTTGAAATTTGTATGAATACTTGCAAATAATTTATTATTTTTCATTTATTGTTATTTAACAGACTTCGTAATTAAAGAGGTGCTTTTTTTCTTTTATCCTGGAGTAACACAGAAGAGATATGATACTAATTTTCCCTCTGTGCTTAGTTTTCTTACTCAGTGATATTGTCCATATCTTTTTTTGTTATAAAGTTGTTTTTGTTAGTGAACTTTGGATGGTTTGATCAATGGATTGAGTGTACTGCGTGACTGATCTCAGGCTTGTCTTCTTTATTTATGTTTTTTTTTTTATATTTGCTTTTATAATATTGTACATTTGAATCTCATTCAAAGTGAACAACCCTAGTTATTTTTTTTTAACTCCTACACACATTGTATTTTTTTTAAATAGTTCATATTTTAATATTTTATTTTTATATGCAGGAATGAAGCCAACTCATTTTCATACTCTTTGCCTAATACATAATATATGTACATGTATAACATGTTTTATATCATGTACTTTGTTTTTGTTTATGAGCATTAATGGTATTTCATTATACTGCATGCTTTACATCTATGCCTTTATTTAAAATCTGAAGATCACTAATGACTACTTAAACCATACATGTTAACTCTACCGCTTTAGGCGGAAGTCTACAGCTTTTTTACTCCTCCTCCCACCAACTGTTTTTATCCGTAAATCTATGGCTTTTCAACAAAATCCATTTTTGGTTTGCTTGGATAGCCATTTTTGAAGCCACTCATCATAAAATCTTGTTAGATGTCGCGTGATTTAAAGTGGGAGCATACAAACACTTTATTAAACCGATGTTTACGTGTTTGACAACAACTGGTGCACAGATCTCTGTGATTACATTGGTTATTAATTTCTTCAACATCCCCGCCAAGAAAAAGGAGATAAAGTATTCTAGAACTGGATGAAAACTTTTGACAAAAAAAGGGAAGAAAAAAAAATGTAAAAAAAGGGAATCAGCATTCATTTAATATATATATACTACTTTTGTTTCCAGTCATCACAGGAAATCCATTTTTTTTTTAACAAAAGATAAGAACTAGTGTTAGATCTGAATTACATGAAAATAATGTCATCATTTGCTGTAATTGACAACTGATTGAACATACAGAAGTATTGCCTCCAGGCTACATCAACAGAGATCACTCTTTAAAAGGCTAAATTTAGCAGCCAATCAAAGCCAAAGTGATGAGCAAGAAAAATATTTATATTTGTATAATGTATGTCAAAGGTGTTTCTGTCTTCTTCATTGCGGTTGATATTTGATTTTAATTATTGCAGTGGTCATTTTAGGCCATACTTATATATATATATATCAAAGCGTAAAACAACGTGCACAATGCTACCTCTTTTGAGGTTTGAATCTCCCTCTTTTTCATCACAGTAGGTTAACATGTATGCTTATAAACCCACGTTTGCTACAGTACGGTATATGATGAGCTGGTCTATGACAAATGGTAGCTTATACTGTTAAGAAGTCTTAATAGGACGTCTTGATAAAGGAGGAGGTGAAGTTTAGTGAAGATCTGTATTATATGAAAAAAGTTATGCAGTGCTTCTAAAGTATGGTCTTATTGACAAATTGTTGACTATTTCCTCATAATTTATATATAATTATATATAACATCTTGCTGTGCCTGGTGCTTAACTCTACTGATTTTACTTTAAAAGCAAGAGACACATATATTGTTCAGTGCCATGACTATTTACACATTTGACTGAATTATATATATTTTCAAATACAGGAACATGTAATGAACAGTTAAATACTTGTGAGGAAATTGTTCTAAAACTATATATATTATTAGAGATCGTAATCATAGCTGTTAGCATACTCTTGCCTTTATAAAATTTGGCAGACAATTTTTTGTTAAATTTTGTCTTATAAAGCATGAAATATATCCTTGTTAATCAGGAAGTTTACATGTGTACAATTTATTTTTGCGTATTTTTATTGTGACAGTCACTTTGACTTGTAGAAAATTATGTTGTTTATGTTGTTGGACATGTAGAAAATTATGTTGTTTATGTTGTTTGACTCATAGAAAATTATGTTGTTTATGTTGTCGGATGATTTTGTTTTTTCTTTTTTTGCACAGGATGAATTGTTAATAAGTGTTGAAAACTCAGACCTTTAACTCTCATTTTTTCCTCTTTGGTATGATAGGAACTTTATATCTGTGTTCCTCTGACCCCTTCATGGTATATGGTATACCTTTTAAGAATATTTTATTGAAAGATATGAAGATGGGGTTACTTGCCTAATTTTACTAATTAAAGCCTTGAGTTTTGCTTTTAGCATTTCAGTGCAAAAATAGTTTTTCTTTTATGACCCACCTAGCATTATTTAAACAAGTTGATGTATACATCAAGAGAAGTCTCTGAAAAGATTGTAGCTTTACTGGTTTTTAGCTCTACTAGTCAGAGACCAGAAGAGCTTATGTGATAGTAAGGTGTCTGTTTAGCTGTCTGTTTGTAAACAATTTTTCAAATGCTACTTCTACTACAGTTTTTGTCAAATTTCAGTATAACTTGGTACAGAAGTAGACTACACTAAGATACATAGTTCTCTTTATCGGTTTTAGATTTCAATAAATGGTGTTGCCATGGTTACTAAAAATAGAATTTGTGAATTTCTTTTAAAATGCTACCCCTCCTACAGTTTTGGTCCAATTTCAATGTAACTTGGTACATAAGTAGACTACTCTAAGATACATAATTCTGTTTATAAGTTTTTGATTTTGATGAAGTGTTGCCATGGTTACTAAGTTAGAATTTTTTGTAAATTTCTTTCAAAATGCTACAGTTTTGTCTGACTTCAATATAACTTGGTACACAAGTAGTGTATACTAAGATACATATTTCTATGTATCGGTGTTTTGGTTTTGATGAAAGATATTTTCATGGTTACTACAAATAGAAATTTTTGTGAAATCTTTCCAAAACGCTACTTCTACAATATGTTTTGTCCAATTGCAATTAAACTTGACTCGGAAAGAGAATAAACCAAGGATCCTTATGTTTTTTTATTGTTGTTCCCAAAGTTTCAAGTCTAAGTGCTACCTTTCTCTACCTTTGTTAATTAATTAAAAATTAGTGGAGTTACAGTCTTGTCAGAGACTTCTGGTTACTTATAAACAAAGGTAGAGAAAAACAGCACTTCGACTTAAAACTATAACAACAGCAATAAATAAAATATTGATCCTTGAAATTGGACAAAAAGTGTAGTAGAAGAAGTCTTTTGTAAGGATTTCACAGAAATTTCTATTTCTATATAACAACCATGGCAACACTGTTTGTTAAAATCAAAAGCTGATATATAGAATTATGTATCTTAGTATAGTCTACTTTTGTACTAGGTTATATTGAAATCGTACAAAAAATAGGAGTAACATTTTTGAAAGAATATCACAAAAATTTGCATTTTTAGGAATCATTGCAACACTGTTCATTGAAATCAAAAACTGATATACAGAATTATGTATAATATTGTAATATTGTAGTTTGTATACCATGTTACAGCTGTATATTGAAATCAGAATAAAACTGTAGGAAGAATAGCATTTCGAAAGAATTTCACAAAATTTCTATTTATAGTAGCCATGATTACATGGTTCATCAAAATCAAAAAACTGATATTCAGAATTATGTATCTAATTGTGTACCAAGTTATATTAAAATTGGACCAAAACTGTAGGCGGAGTAACTGATTAAAAAATATCACAGAAATTTCTATTTATGGTAGCTTTGACAACACAGTTCCTCAAAAAGTGAAATTCAGAATTTGTGCACCAAAAGCAATACTGAAATCGGATTAAAACTGTAAGAAGAGTAGCATTTTGAAAGAATTTCACAGAAGTTTCTATTTCTTCTAACCATGGCAAACCTACTCATTGAAATCAAAAACTGATATTCAGAATTACGTATCTTAGTGTAGTCTAATTGTGTACCAAGTTATATTGAAATTGGACCAAAACTGTAGGCAGAGTAATTGATTTAAATAAAAAAATCACAGAAATTTCTATCTTTAGTAGCCATGGCAAGCTCGTTAATCAAAATCAAAAACTGATGTACATAGTTATGTATCTTAGTGTATTGTTATTGAGTACAAATCTTAGTGTATTGAGTACTAATCTTAGTGTATTCTTATTGAGTACTAATCTTAGTGTATTGAGTACTAATCTAAGTGTATTGAGTACTAATCTTAGTGTATTCTTATTGAGTACTAATCTTAGTGTATTGAGTACTAATCTTAGTGTATTGAGTACTAATCTTAGTGTATTCTTTTTGAGTACTAATCTTAGTGTATTCTTATTGAGTACTAATCTTAGTGTATTGAGTACTAATCTTAGTGTATTGAGTACTAATCTTAGTGTATTCTTATTGAGTACTAATCATAGTATATTCTTATTGAATACTAATCTTAGTGTATTGAGAACTACTCTGAGTGTATTGAGTACTAATCATAGTGTATTCTTATTGAGTACTATTCTTAGTGTATTGATTACTACTCTAAGTGTATTGAGTACTAATCTTAGTGTATTTTTATTGAGTACTAATCTTAGTGTATTGAGTACTAATCTTAGTGTATTCTTATTGAGTACTAATCTTAGTGTATTGAGTACTAATCTAAGTGTATTGAGTACTAATCTTAGTGTATTCTTATTGAGTACTAATCATAGTGTATTCTTATTGAGTACTATTCTCAGTGTAATGAGTACTACTCTAAGTGTATTGAGTACTAATCTTAGTGTATTTTTATTGAGTACTAATCTTAGTGTATTGAGTACTAATCTTAGTGTATTCTTATTGAGTACTAATCTTAGTGTATTGAGTACTAATCTTAGTGTATTGAGTACTAATCCTAGTGTATTCTTATTGAGTACTTATCTTAGTGTATTCTTATTGAGTACTAATCTTAGTGTATTCTTATTGAGTACTTATCTTAGTGTATTCTTATTGAGAACTTTTCTTAGTGTATTCTTATTGAGTACTAATCTTAGTGTATTCTTATTGAGTACTAATCTTAGTGTATGGAGTACTAATCTTAGTGAATTGAGTACTAATCTTAGTGTATTCTTATTGAGTACTTATCTTAGTATATTCTTACTGAGTACTAATCTTAGTGTATTCTTATTGAGTACTTATTTTACTGTATTCTTATTGAGTACTTATTTTAGTGTATTCTTATTGAGTACTAATCCTAGTGTATTCTGATTGAGTACTTATCTTAGTGTATTCTTACTGAGTACTTATCTTAGTGTATTCTTATTGAGTACTTATCTTAGTGTATTCTTATTGAGTACTAATCTTAGTGTATTCTTATTGATTACTTATCTTAGTGTATTCCTATTGAGTACTAAACTTAGTGTATTCTTATTGAGTACTTATCTTAGTGTATTCTTATTGATTACTTATCTTAGTGT